CAGCCGCTGCTCGTGGCTCCGGCACTCTGCGGTGTTCGCCCGGGGCCAGGGTCCCGGCGTGTGCCCCTCCTGCCTCCCTGCCCGCAGCGCGACGCTGCCTTGGGCCGTGCCCAGGGCTGTCCGCGAAGGTCCTGGTCTCTCTGGCAGCTCTGTCCGGCTCAGCCCTGTCCTTCTGCCCCGTCGGCCCCCAGCTCTTGATTCGGCAGCACGGCACCTCTGGAGCCAGGCCAGCCCTTGCACCCACCAGGCAGAAGCATCTCCACTTTTACTGGCAGCACAGTACACCATTGAAGCCCACCACTTTGCATGGGAAGAAGCAAAAGCACCATGCAAGTAAATGCAAAATAAATAGAAAGTGCAGGGATGAGGAAGTTGATAGTAAACAGAAATATGAGTCAGACACAAATCATTGATGTAGGAAAGCTGACCTGGGACAGAGAAGGACACAGATGCTGCCAGCAGGGCCACTCCAGGAGGACAAGGTCCCTTACAAGTGGGGAAGGAAAGGCATCCCTCACCCTGGCAGCACAGGCCCTGGCAGGGAGCACAGGACAGTGCTGCAGTGGGCAGGCTGCTGAGCAGGGTACAGCTGTAGCAGGGCCAGGAGTGGTGTGCCCTACACAGAGCCCTCTGCTCACTGCTGACAGCCTGGACATTGCTAGCAGCAGCCGGAGAGTACAGATGGACTGACGCCTCTGGGTGATCTGCACCCAGGACAGAGGAGGAGACCGTTGAGGCCTAGAGACTTCGCTTCCCAATGTGTTCATCAGGACTTTGCTAAAGGTTGTGAAGAAATTGCTGAGGGACATCCCAGGTGGCCCAGAGTTTGGCAGGTGATGGTGTTGGTGGGTTACTGATCTAGTCCTCTACATCTAGTCTACTACATCTAGTCTACTGATCTAGTCCTCTACAAACACACAACATCACTCAACAGGGCTCATCTGTCTTCAGAAAAGCAGAGCACCAACATCACTCCTTTGGAGATGCAACCACAGGTCCAGACAGGATTTTGCTGGTACAATTTAAGCCAGTTTACTGGGCAAAATACACTAGGATGGCATTTTCAACAGAGCTGCTGTTGACAGAGCATGTGTAGGGGGTGAGTGTCATACTTGTAAGGCAGTGCCAGTTCACAGAAAGTGTGAGTGAGGTACTTGCAGGCAGGTGCTGTACAGGAACGCCTGGGCCCTCACTGGGAGCTGAGCAGGATTTCCTGTAGACTGGGAAATGGAAGATCAATTTATCATGGATATACTTTCTTTGGGTGAAATGTGAAATGTTTGCTAGGATCCTTGAGTGGCCACACATTTGGCCCTGTGCATGGTGGGGGGTGGCTACCAAGGCAAATTCAGTTTATTTCAAAATAGATGGAACAACCATGTAGGTGTTCAAGCAGGTAGAAGATCTACCTGCAAAGAAGATAACGTTCAGTGTGTCCTGTGGCTCAACCTACCACACCATTGCCCAAGGTTGGTGTTGAGGGCTGCAGGGTGGGCTCCTGCCAAAGGGAGCAGGGCCTCGGGGTCCCCTGCCAGGCAAATCAGCTCCAGTGCACTCGGGTGCTTTGGGGAAATGCAGGTGCTTTTCTGGGCAATGCTGGCCTTGTGCCAGATGCTGAGAGCTCATCCTTTCTGCCAGACTAACAGAGTCATTGCGATCTGCCCTTGTGCACCGCCTAGTTCAGTGGATGCATTCACTTCCCTGAATATCTGCTCCGGTTGCCTCTGCCTGCTAGAAAGTGCATCAACTGATTTAAAAGTTGCCCATAATGCAGAGCCCATCCAAAAATAGTAAGCTGCCTTGTTGGCTGATTGCCGTCACTGTTCAAGATATAATGTATTTTCTGTGAGAATTCACATTGCAGCTGCCAGAACTTGCAGAGTCTTGAAGTGACTGAAGATCCTTCTCTTGCTAAATTTCAGGTCTGTGCTGGAATATTTACAGGTTCCCCTTAACCTCCTCCTTAAGAAGCTATCAAATCTGCAACTCTCCAAACCTGTTTACCTGCCTATTATCCCATTGTCCCTCAAGTGAACTGGCTTGCTTTCCACCTGGTATTCTTTCTCGCTGGCTTTGCAGACAACTCTGTACCTCTTAGGTCTTCCTACATGCAGAAATAGGAAGGGCCCTTCCTTGAAAGCAGTCCCAACAGGGGAATGGGTGCTGCATGTCCAGTAGTGCCCGTGCTCGCTATATCCGGTCCCAGACTGGTTCCCTGGCGTGCAGAGCACAGGGCAGACTATCAGCTGCTATGGTGCTGCAGCCTCAAGCTTGTGTCAGACACTGGTGCCCAGCAACCACCTAAAGCCTGCAAGCAGCAGAAGTGGAAATGTTAAGAAACGCCTGGGAATTTGCTGACTCCGGATCTGTAGTTCCTGCATTTGTTTTTGTTTATGTGAACCTTCTGGAAGGGCAATGTCCTTGTGGCCAGCCTTGGTGCTCATTGACAAGTGTCTTTGTTAGCAGGCAGCTGGGAAGGTTGTTCACAGGTGTGCCTACCCTCTCTAGATTTTCCCTTTGCAAGCTTATGGGGCTGGTGTTTTCCAGTGGGGGACAGACAAGATGTCTGTGAAATGTCATATGGAGTCACAGTCCTAGCACCCGTGGGCATCCCTGCAGGCTGGTTGTGTGTTCCTAATCTGAACAGCTTGCCATGGGACAGGGATGCTGCCTCAAAGCCCTGCCCTGCGGGTGTAGGGGAGAGCTGTGTCAGTGCAATTTTGGTGCAGTTCGAGTTGTGCAGTGGTTAAAGACAGAGAGCGCAGCTTTTGTAGCCCATACAGGAGTGATGATGCTTTGCTTGACATACCCTGACACTACACAGACACAGATGCAAAGAGACACAGAGTTGGTGTCTGTAAAGAAGAAAATCACCAGGCAGAAAACTTTAGGATGGATGTACAATAGCTCTGTGCTTTGGTGCACCCTAAAATCGTGCTAGAGTGCCTTATAACCTAGTCAGCACTCAGCTGTCTCCTCTAGGCTTGGTTTTTACTGTGCAAATTCCTCCTCCCAGGTTAATTATTACCTTGTGCAATTCTTCCCAGCTGCCTCTTTCTGAGAAAGATGGAAGCATAGACATTATATCCACTTGCTTGAATACCAATGCCCAGCAAGATCATAGCAGGATAACAGACATTTGAGGTACCCAGGGGTGAACAACTGGTGGATCTCTGAGAGCAGCCACCTAGGGATGGTACAAAGAGAGACTCTGGGTTTTTTTTAGTTGTTTTTTTCCCCTTTTACAGGTTTCTATGGGAGGCCATGGTCCGTGGAACAGAGGAAACTTCTCTTTCAATGGCAAGTACCCAGAATTTTCCTTTCTGAGCGTAGTAGCCTGTGGCAGAGTGACAAGGTGGAAGTCAGCGTGTTGCAGAGGCAGGAAGAGTGCGGACAACGTGCTGAAGGGAGTCTCCTGGGACTGGGCTGCCTTTGGGACACCGGGGTGATGGCAGCAAAGGGGGCTCAGGCTTCTCCCAGTGCCCCCTCTGTCCCAGCACCCTTGCAGCCCGGGTGCGCCCCGGGGAAGGACTCCAGCCCGAGGACACCCTGGCCAATGTGGGCTGTGCTGCCCCGTGCTGGCAGATGGTACTGAGACTCTGCCACAGCCCAGCTGCAGCCATATGTGCTCATCTGGGGGGCCTGGGCCAGGGCTGGCACCCCAAGGGGATGGGGCCTGGTGATGGGGCCCAAAAGGGGCTGAGTGGGCACCCACCCTGTGTGCTGACACGGGTGCTCCAGGGAGGGTGAGACCCCTGCCAGCGGGCCAGGGTCGGACCCTGCTGTCTGCACCATGGGAGGAACGATGGCAGCTTGGAAGGGTTTGGAGAAGAGCGCGGGGGCTGCTTGAGACTGACAGTGCTGCCTCTGGAGGCACCAGAAAAGCTGCCTTGCCCTGGCTGCAGCATGGTGTGGGTCAGCTATGGCAGCCTGTGTGCAGGAGGGGTGTCAGGGAGCAGGCGGAAGGGCTGGTGCTGGAAATGGGAAGTCAGATCCCTGTGAGAGAGAACGTGAGGGTGTTCAGCAGTCTGGAAGCTGACCTCGGGTGCTGACCTGGCAGGATGAGCGCCCATTGCCTCATGCCCAAGTGGGCAGTGCCCTGCGGCAGCAGCCCCAGGACGGCACGCTGCAT